AACACGGGACACGGGTATCCTGCGTAGATCTATCTATGACCAACCTTGAGAGGATGGGGACAATCCTTTTGAACAAGCGCAGTGTTTTTTTGTGCTGTTGTTTCTCAAGGCATCTCAAGAAGCAGTTGCCCGCAAGTACCGCCTAGTTGCGACAGCGAAGGTACCGCCGCGACTCTTGCAGCAGCTGGAAATGCTGCTGGGATGCGGCCAGGGTGTGCGATGCGCACCTGGATTGGACTTAGGGGTGCTTGGGAGATATCCTGATGTTCCTCCACAGGGATCCTGACACCCCGGTTGTAAATCCTAAGCCCTCGATTGCCCTAGACCCCGAATCCTTCGCCCTAAGCCCAAGTCCTTGAATCCAAAACATTCTGAACACCTTGCCCTACGCGCTCAATACACCCAGCCAGGCACCCCAGTCCCAGGCATAGGCGATTTCACAAAAACCCGCGGCATCTGCGACGCATTGGCGGCCGGATGTCCCACTGACCTGTACACCTCATCATCTTGGCTCTTTTAGGGTTGTGGGATCAAGGCTCTGGGTTTAGCGAGTTCAGCTTTTGAAAAGGTTTCGAGGTTTGTGGTGTAGGGCCAGGGTTTCGGGCTGTATGATTTACGGACTAGGTTTGAAGTTCATGCATGGTTCAGAGACGATGGTTACCCCATGATCATAAGGGTCCTCATGCATAGAGATTTACATGCATCCTTGTTGGGTGGTAAAGCCAGGGGCGAAGGATCCGGATAGGTTTCGGATTTGGAGTATGTATTTGTCTCATAGTACAAAACATATAAAACGAAGCCAAATAAATAGTACATCAGGGGGGCTGGGGCGGTGCTCAGGAAGAGACGATCTAATGATCTGCTGCTGTGACAGTTAGCCAGGCTACCGTGACGTTTCGGCCACAATCTTTTGCTGGTATCCATTCCAAGGTGCACGACTTGGGAGGTTGGGGGGTGTCAACTGGGCACTAGGGCAACCATTTTAATGCATGTCCTTGTGCTGAAATTCCTATCACTTGAGTTAGAGAATTCAAGTAACTAAGTAACGCAAGCAGCTGAATATCTGAGTGCTGGGTGGGTCCTACTGCCTACACCCTAAACCAAAGCAAATTCCTAATGCATCTCTCAAACATGTAAAGGTTGACAATGGGAACACCTAAAATGTTCCCTGATAGAGGCCGCCGCAGCGAGGAGTCTGCAACAAGGAGCGCCAAAGGTGCGGAAGGGGCACCATTACGAAATGGAGGCCGAGAGGGAGAAGTGTCTCTTCTGTTGTGTGGATGCTTTCTCAAAAGTCTGGAAATGGCGCCATTGTGAATTTCCCTAGAATCAAGAACCATGACTATTCTTGACATTCAAGAAGATCTTTTGCCATATCCACTGCTGCCCTAAAGCCACAATTCCTTCCAGGTGCAAGGACTCCCAAATGAACTGGCCTAACTGCACCTGCCACAAAAACTGATCCCTTAAACTCAAATCCCTAACCCTCAGCCCTGACCAGCTAGGATGCTGGTGTCATCGGCACGCTTTTCGCTGGTGGCGGCCCCACTGGACGGAGGGCCCCTACCTGAAAGTAGAGTTTGGAGGTATGATCTTCATAGTTTCATAGGAAAAGGATAAAAAAATGCTGAATAATTTCAATCCCAGCTTCAGGCCCCGGCTGCACTGTCACAGACCGGATGGGGGGGCCCACAGTGCGCGGGGCGGAGGTCAACCTGACTTGGGTTCTTTTTCTTTGCTGGGGTGAAGGATCATATGGGAGCTTTGGGCTTAGACGAATAGGATGCAGGGTTCAGGGCGGGTGTGTGGTTGAGCAATTTTGTAGCTCCAAGCAACCGCAATGATCTCTTGCGCAATATATGATTTACCACAACGACTTGTACTCTGCAAACCCGCTTTGATTGCAAGAGGCCGCACGGTCAGGTTATTATGCAGGCTTTACAGTTTCTGGTATCAACAGTGCCGTTTAGGTCTGCAGGCGTTTGAAGCTCATTGTACAGTCTGGAAAATACACGGCCCCACACAGTCATGAATACATGCTATCTTGCAAATCCATGCTGGGAATCCGGAACCACCCTACAACTGTCTCACAGAAGTCAGGAATTCATAGGGCTTGCACATATCATGGATCAACAGCATGGGCATTTTTCAAGAGAGAGCTTCTTGGGAAACCCAGATAGGGTAGGACTTATGTTTATCATCTACCCTTCTGACACCCACCCAAATCATATGCTCCTCTTCACATGTTCCGAGTTGCAAAAGCTGACCCATCTTCCCAAAGTTCAAAACCAAACCGAACACTCATAACAGGAACCAAGAGAGATTACGAGTTTCTGCTATTCAGGCCCCGCACACACTGTTAAGTCCGGATCATCATGCGTCTAATGCCCTCTCAATAATAATGTCCTCTCAAAACTAATGCCCTCTCAAGACCTATGAGTTGAAGCCAGTGTCACGCGCTGCGGAATTGAAGGAATAATCGAATTTGCCCACAGCTGGGAGATGTAGAGACTAAACCAACATCCAAGCCACAAATTGACAAGCCCTCGAAGCCATACCCTTGAATGGCTAAAACCTGTACCCCCCCCTCGCAGTGTTCCACGAGCCTAACGGGGACTGCCGTGCCAGCGCCATGGGGGGTAACGGGTGCGCTTGCCTGGGGTTCTCAAGATGCTTCTCTGGGATCTGATTATCCGGGGTCCACTAGTTTGGGGAGCTGCAGAGGCATTGAACTCCAATTCTGAGAATGCACATACATGTAAGATTTATGCCGGTCATTCTCAACTAGACCCTCAGTCCAATACATGCTATAGCCCCAATGTTGCATGCATACGTGTCTTGTATTGCCTGGAGGTCAGCTATACCTGGGGCTATAGTAAGTATTCAAATTGGGATGAGCTATAGCTGCCCCACGTACCCCTCGGCGTAGCGCTACCCATGGACCTCACCCTACTTGTTATCCAGTCCAGAAGTCCAAATTTTGGGACTGCAACAGTTGGAGGCTTCAGGCCGTTCACAAATTGCGAATCAGGAGAGAGAACTAAAACTTGGGTAGGCTTTTGCTTTTCATGCGTTACGTGTTTGGTGGTTTGGGCTTGGGGCTTCCAAATTACAGTATAATATGAGATTTTTGGAGTGCTCACATCTTGCTCGGTCACAGCGTCGCGAAAACAGTCCTGAATCCTAGTCCCCACGCTGCGCCCCCACCGACAAGAGCCCTTCTGAGTTCAATGCCCCACCGACTTGTACTTTCTATTAGACCCTTGCCCTCTTCAAACCTATACCCTATACTACAGCTCTTCCCAAAAGCCTATCCAGGTTTAGATTGCCAGTATGATGCAACTACAGTTTCTTTTGGCCCCCTGAGTCCTCTTGAAGCACAGCAAGGGGCAGACTGACCGGGGAAGCTATGTCGAGCCGTTCCAGGACGGTGGTTGACAGGGACCTTGGAGGAGGGGCTTCGGAGTAAGGGGCATTGGGGCTTAGGCACAAGTGTCAGTGTGTATTGCTTCAGGGCAGGTGCGATGTTCACGGGGACACTGCGCAAGGAAGCTCTTGCATCCTGGTCTGCTGGTGCTGGTGGGTCCACGAAGTCCAAAACCCCAGACCCTAATCCCTCAAAGCGTGTCGGGGTTCCTGAGGGCCTGGCAGCTCCCAGCTGACCGAAGCACAGTACCTGAATCGGCTGGCCAGATTCAGATTCAGCCGGACTGTTCCCCAAGCTTTTATTGCGGGAGACTTGTTTGGTTCAGAACTTGCAGTCCAAGACTCGGGTCAAGGCTTGATGAGATGAGCACCTATCATGAAGGAACCAGGCTCGGGGTTTGGGCAAGCGACGCTCGCACCTCAACTCCGCTCCAAAATTCTAGAAACCAAAGCTCTGACCCCTGAACCTCCGCCTCCATTCATGCGCCAAACACCTCCAACACTACACTCCTACCTAGACCATCTAGACCATACACCCAAAACCTGAACCTCCGACCTTGGCTTAGCCCAAGGTCATAGACCATGAAGAAACCTCAGACCCCAAACCGTGGCCGCCAAAGGACATGGAACCCACAACCTCAAAACAACCCTGTGTCCAGGACAGTCACGGGGAGTTGCTTTGGCGCAGGGCCCGTCAGCGGCACACTGGAGACTCCCTCGGGGTGAGGGGTCCTCAGCAGCTGGCTGCGTTCAGAGTTTGGGGTTTGGGACCTCGAGCTTTCGGTTCCTGACCAGTCGGCTTCAGAAAAACTTTCGCAAACTCATAGTAGCTGGCGTGCTGCACAGGGCTAGATTGACACTTTTCGACAAGACTTTCGCGGATTTCGGTATACCTGTATGAGAAATGGGAGCTTCTCAAACAAAGTGACGGGACCTTTGGCAGGGACATTGGGTGCAAAGCGATCAAAAGGGTCCCCCTAAATGACTGTACAGGCATTGAGATGCTCCCTTTCGAGGGGAACTGCTCGCAAACCTTGAGGGGATGAACTTATTTACTAACGGCCCACCAACGGGCATTGCAAACGCGAGTACGCAAACCCGCGCTGCCACAGCTGCATCTGCTTTGGAAAAGCGTGTAGTAGCCCATTATCTGTGTAGTAGCCCATTATCTGGTTCAGTGGCTCCTGAAGTTCGGGTCCAGGGATTCAAGTTACCTAGCAGGCCTGCAAAAGTCTTGGCATGATGTCTGTGGTTTACGGAAGGATCCTACAATGCCTACCTTCAGCTCTCTGCTTTTGCCCTTGGGCAAATCCCTTCTTCAGCAGGATGATCTACGTAGCAAGGCTGAAAAACTCTACGGTCGGTTTGGGCCATGCTGCTGACTTACAGGGTTTCTGAGCCTTTAGATGGCAACATTTAACACAGACCAATCTTGATGCAAGTGCTGAACTCCTCAATATGCCTTTCGCGTTGTCCCGAGGCATCGTACACCAGAACTCCATCAGGACCATTTGCTGATATCATTAGCCACCTTGGTGTTCAATCATTGCTCCCTTCAGGAACGTCCAAGTCTCACTGTCGCGCAGTTGGGCAGCACTGTGGAGAGATACCTCTCCACGGCGTGAAGCTTAAATGGTTGGGCTTTGGCTTTTTTGGTTTTGAGGCGCAGGGTTTTTCCCAATGTGTGTTCCCTTGAGAAATGACCTGAAACATTCGCTATGGGCCTTTGGATCCGAGACTCCAAGAATGCCTAGGTCCCAACTGTTAGGTCCTAAGCCCAAGCACCAAACTGAGCTGCGAACCATGCCTGCAAGTATGCTAGCAAACGAAACCCGCACGTCAAACCTTCGCGCGTCGTCGGTAAGTGCAGATTTTGATAAGAGAGCCCCGCATCCTCGTCTCCAAGTCCCAAACCGCTCAGGAGACTCCCCTGCTGCCTGGGAAGAGTGGTTGACATTGCGCTTGTGTCGTCCCGAGGGGTTGGGCTGCTTTCCTGCAAAAGGCGTGGGAGATGAGAGAGCTTGCGGCATTCGGGGGGGGTTGTGGTGTGCGCCGTGCGCTTCGGGGATTCATGGAAAGTTGATGGGGCATTGGGGTTTGGTGGGCAGTCTGGTTCAGGGTTTTAGAGGGGTTGGGTTTTGAACTTCAATGTGCAACTGTTAGGCGTCAGGGCCAAGGGGTTGAATAGCTTCAGGAGTTGGGTTTCTGCCTTTGGACCCTACCAGCCAAAGAGCGTAGGAGTGCATGAAGCTGGGGTCTGAAACTCTAGGGGTTAAGGGGTCAGGGTCCAAGGTTGCCGATGGAAGTAGAAGCCCCTTCTCGGGCTGCCAGCTACTTTTTATAAGGACCCATGAATCTCAAAAATTCTCAGCCCTAATCACAAAGCCGATACATATTGCACATCCCTCATGCCCAAACACACACCCTCTGGAAAAAAGGACTCCCCGGACCAGGGCTCCTTGTTGTCCGGGTGCGCATGTATTTTCTCTTTGGCGTCTGCTGGCGGTATGCTAGAGGCCTCGGGCATGCTGGGTGCACTGTAGGGTGGCTCAAGGAGTCAAAGCTCACAACCCTAGCACAGCACGTGCTATAGGACCACTTGGGCTTTTCTAGGAGTGGTGCATAACACTACACTGAATAACTTTGAAGCAACCGTATGCCCACTTTTCTTGTGAAGTTCGGACACTTCAGACGATGTTGCTTTTTCTGGCACCCTTCTGGAGCGGACTTTTTAACCTTCAAGCATTAACCTTGAAACCCCCGGCCTTGGCATCGGTGGCTGTGGATGGAGCTTGCGCCCCCTGCGTGGACTCCGAAATCCTCTCAGCCTGAGATCAGATAGGCTTGGGGTCGGAGTTAGGCTTCTGATTTAGGTTCGGGATCTGTGCTTAGGGTTTTGGGATGAGAGCTTCCAAATTCGGGATCACCGTCTAATAAGGATTATGGCTCAGCCCTTTGGGCTCCTGCGGTTTAGGGTGAGATGGCCTGGCTTGATGGGATTTACTTCCTTAACACCCAACCACTTGGGATTCTGCAGATTCGCAATCTTGGGCTTAGGGAGCAGGAGCAGAGCAAAGGGCACTGGATTGGGGAGCGAGGATTCCTGGAGTGCCAACAACCCTTTGCCCCTAGAGCCAAGACCCAGCAACCACCAAAGGCAAAAAAAACCTTACCCCCCCAAGCCCAGCACCCCTTAATCCCCGAAAACCCCCAAAAAAAATTCGTCACAGAAATCCCAGGGTTCTTTGAGTTGGGAAGCCGGCTCTGGGTCGGTCTCCGGAGTTGCTTGCGCCTGGCAGAGCATGGAGCTAGAATGGATTTAGGGTGTGCAGGGCGTTCAGGGCTTTGGATTTAGGCTTCAGGATTCAGGGTTTTAAGCGTTGAGGGGTTCTGGTTTAGGATTGCGTACATCGTTGAAAATGCATACTCCGCAATACACAACCTGATTCCAAAACCTCAAGGCAAAATTAGGATAACAGCATCGACAGGAGCCTTAAACCGTGGAGATTACAATTCACTTGATTATCTTTGGATCTCTGAGCGGTATTAAATAAATCAAACAGAATCCCGAAACTGCCAATTTTTGTTGTAGAAATCTCAAGCCGCACGAATCCTTGCCCAATGCTTTATAAAATGCCGATTGAATCGCTGCGGCCGGAAAAACTCCTGAAAACGATCCCCCTCAAAACCTAAAGCCCCCAAACCTTTCAGCCCTGTACCCTTCAATCCTTAGACCCCTAGATGCTCAAGTCTTGGGCCCTCAGCCATTACACCCGAGCCCCCAAACCGTTGGCCTCCAGAAGCCCAGGCTTTTCAGCACTGGCTGCTTTGCTCAGCAGGAGGGCTGGAAGCGGATCTTCGGCTTTGGGGGCCTGCATATGCTTCAAAGCTGGTGTAGGCTTTAGGGATTAAAGGCTTATGGGGTTGGGGCGCGTAGAGAGGTTAAGGGAAATAATTTGGAGGTTTGTGGGTTAGAAGAAAAATACATTTACCTCCAAGTTGAAGGTTCACACGACCGCGGCCTGTGACACATGTTGCGGCTAAACAGGCCTTTGGAGCACTCTGCACATTCATATCCGTTTTCGAAGGTGCCCTTTTCCGGCGAAGGCTTTTTCTTTGAGTGAGCCATACCCATTCTATTAATGATTTAACTCTGTTTACATCAGATTCTGCCCTCTGTCACCTAACCCTCTTTTGACCCAAAAGGCCATAAGCCTAAGCCCCCCTAAATCCCAAAGGCTCCCCAAAGTCGGGACTTCCCTCCGCCTGCTCCAAGGCACTCTGGAGATCTCTCTGCAAGCGCCATGAAAGCGCTAGGCAAGCCAGCAAGGCGGTAATGGAGCCTCGACTTACGCATGAAGGAATGGCCTATGAAGTTTGACAGGTGAAGGTTGAGCAGGGTGTAGGGATTAGTGTTTGAGGATCTAGGTATTCGAGGCATGGGTTGAGATGAGTGTTCAGGGGCTTCTACAGGCAGCATTTCAGGGATCCATTCGCTCGTTCAGTCCCAACAACTACGGTTTCCTTCCGCCCTGGAAAATCTATGTTCTCAACAGTCCCTCCGAAATTTACAACCCTTGCAAGCCCACTATTTTCTGAGTGGACTCCCAATAAGATGCCAAGCATGGAGCGCGGCTTGTGACGGAGGAGGCGAAGCAAGAAGGCACAGAACTTCTCAGCCTGGGGGGGCGGGTTAAAAAAGTTGGGGCCCAGGGATTTGGGAGACAATTGCTGAAGCTTGGTTGGTAGGATTTAGGATTGAGAGCGCAGGATTTAGAACACCGGGATTTGGGGAGCTTGGGTTTAGCCCTCGGTTTTAAGGCTCAGGTTCAGGAATTAAGGTTTAGGATGAGGGTTCTGGATTGGGACCATGGGGTTAGGACTTAAAGGTGGTGGACACGAGGTTGTGAGCCTGTTAGCATGGCGGGCAAGCATGATTAGGGCCTATCAGGGTCCAGGGAGGGTACACAAGTTCACAGTCATCCTAACCCAAGGAAACAGCCAAGATTTTTCTGACATAGCTACGGGTCATGCGCCTCTCATTTGGAACAACTAGACTCAAGTCAAATATTGTACGGAACCCCATGTCCACATCTAATCTTCCCTGCATGACCGCAGTATTAAGAATGGTTCAAAAATACATGTGTTGCATGAAATCAAGAGCTGCTTAGCACTAGCTTCGGTTCAAAACGTTGCCCTGACCATCCAAGTTTAGCGTTTGAGGTTGAGAGCTCTCGGGTTAATTCTTTACATGACGCCATTAGAGCAACTCATGACCTTTTTTTTGTGTAGTTCTAGATGTCTCTTGGCTGTCAATTATGGATTTTCGTACTCTCAGGCTTAAAACGCTGGAGCCAGAAACCTGAAACCCTGACGCCTGCATCCCAAAACCTCCATTCGCAATCTCCAAATCCCAAACCCAAACCCTATCCCGAAACCATAAATCTAAACCTGGAACCCTGGTATAAAGCATGCTTAACTTCAGCTGCTTCTTTGGACTATGTAAGCAAGAATTAAACGCGAATTCAAGATACCTTTAGATTAAGCCAAGGCCTGAAAACTCCTCCAAACCCTCCAAACAGCCTGCAACACTGCTGCTGCCCCACAAGCGAGGCTGAAGCCGGCTGCCAGGGCACCCCAGGCCTTGGCCCGAACCTGTCACGTGGAGCGGCTCCCCAAACAAACTCCGAACTCGACCAGGGTCCAAGAGGTTTAGGTTGAGGGGTTGAGTTAGGGGTAAAAGGGTCAGAACAGGAGTTTGCGGTTTTGGGGTGTAGGATTCAAGAGACAGCTCAGGTTGCTAAAGACTCACTTTCAGGGCTTTGCAAAGCAGGCCCAGCAAGTCTAAGATGCGCTGCAGCCTGAACCCCTGAAGCGCAAGTTGAAAACCCAGCCATGGATCATGAGCCCAGGCTTGAAACCCTATCCCTGGAGCGACTTTACCCTAAATCCCCGACGACACAAACTTTGCGCAATGAGCAACAGAAGTAATGCCCCAAAAGGGTAGCCATCTTCTTTTCCCTCCCCAACACCCCTGCGGAGCCTCCTGGGAAGCCTTCTTCTTCTCTCTGGGCAAGCAATAATCCAGGATCTGCCAGGAATGGGGTTCAGCTATTGAAGCTGACCTGCCTCCCCTCAAAGAAGGACTCCAAAAAATGATCCAGAACTAAACCCCTTGAGCTTCGTGGTTAGGGCTTCGGATTGATGGTTTTGAGTGGCGGGGCTGCTTTGGGGCTTCGGGTTTGGAGTTGGAGGTTCTAGCTTTCGTGTTTGGGGCTTGGGGTTGAGCTTCAGGATGTTTAGCTTGGAGCTGACGGGTTGTGTACCGGGTACATGTACAATATCAATTGAGGAGAGGGAGTCAGGAAAAACGGGGCTTCTTGGCGATACTTGCTTCACCTAGGCCCCAGATGCACCTAGCTGCGCAACATCCTGAACAGAACTTGTTTCCGGGCAAGCCCCAAGTACAGCGCAATCCTTGTACAAAACATGCCCATTTAGCATGTTCAAGGACGAATGAAGCACTAGAGGACATGTGGACTCCAACAAGTGCTGGGCTTTAACCCTCAGCACCTCACCTAGACCTAAACCTAATCCTGCAAGCCCAAAGTCCCAGAGCCCCCAAAATGCCCAAGCACCCTCCAGCCTCCTTTCCTGGTGTCGCGACTAAGCGGGCCAGGACAGCCGCTGCCAAGAAGTTCATGAAGCAGCCCAGACCCGACCTTCTAAAACGTAGGGTTAGGGTTTAGGGGTCTTAGAGGTTGAGGAGGCCCACTGTCTTACAACACCCCGCGACCCGCCAGAATTAAAGTTGTCCCTTAGCATTGGATTCACTTGCGAGAATGTTCTTCTTTGGGTCAAGCATCGTCACCGCGAAGGGGAAAGGCTTAGGATTCAGCTGGCTACCATGCTCCACAATGCTCCACAGTCCCTTTTCAACAGCGGCCTCCTCCGCAGTGGATTCATCGCTGCGACCAGGGCGTAAGCCTTGTTCCGCGCGGCACCATAGATCACATCTTGGAGGAGCCTGAAATTTGGTTTTGGTTCTGGGTTAGAGGCTGTACAGGGCCTGCTGGGTGAATAGCTCCGCTTAGGTGATGCTTGGGATGATGATAGCGAATTGAAGGAGACTGCGAAATTAGGCAGCAGGGTTGCATTCGGGATGCTTGTTACGAAGAGATATTCCAGGGATTGTTCAGTATCTACTAGGACTTGGAGCACTTCAATTGTAAAAAAAGAGCTGACGAACCCCGAGTTGAGTGCTCGAAAGGTTTGTGGTCAGGGCTTGAAGGCTTGAATTCGAATACCCTTCATCGCCAAGATTTTGAGAAACGCGTACTCAGCACCAAGTAGGTCCAGAAAGGGAGCCGCAAGGTGGAGAGATCTGCTCTCAGACCCTCTGTTTACCTGAGTTGTTTTTAGGATCCTTGTAGGCCTCGTAGGACAGAGCGATACAGAAATTCTAACTAGTCAAGGCTGCAAGGATTCTCAGACAAGTCCTTGTCGTGCACGCGGCTTAGGACAAGAGAAACCTCGATACTTGGGTCCACTTCTGCGAGCAGCTTCCATGTGAGCTCTGCGTGAATGTATTTCACCGTATTGTTAATCTCCCACTCTATCCACAGCAGCATCATGTCCCAGACCTCATCTTTAATCCCTAAACACTAGCCCTGCACCCTTCCTTCGGAGAAACCTTCTACTGAGGCCGCCCAGCAGCAAAGATCTATCCAGTGAAGAGGAGCATGCCTCTACACATCAAGAATCATGGTTGAAGGTGGTTTAAACAAGGTAATTCAGAATAATTCCAAATTCCGAATTTAAGGCAATTTATGTACGATTCCCTATATAAACCACCATTTAGGGTGAGGTCGGGTGAGGTCACCTTAAATTGCGCAGGTTTAAGGCTTCAGGTTAGAGTTGCAGGAGGGGAACATGAGTATCCTTCCAACCGCTTCTAATCGAACGAACCGAAAATTCTGAAACAGTACCCCATGTTGGGGGTTGCTCGATCGGCACTCAGGTTTAGAGTTCAGGGTTTGGGGCGGTTGAGATTTTATATGAAGGGCTAGGGTGCTTTTGGGCTTCGGGAATCTTCAGCTCTCAGTTGTGCTGAAAGCCTTATTGGGCTTTAGGGCTTGGGGGTAGCACAAGATCGGGGCCGGTGAGCTCGCATAGGAAGCACCCACAATGACAAGTGTTCATGCCAAGTTGCTAGGCCCCAGCATAAAGTGTCACGGCTGTCAAGGATCAACGCTCCAGCCTAAAGCCCCAGAGATATGCTAGCTGCTAGCTTCAAGAAAAGGGGGTACCCCCAAAAGTGCACAGCGTGGGAATCTTGCGCGTAGAGGTCTCCAACATATTGGCCCTCAACCGAAAACGCTCACGTGGAAATCAAAGTAAAGCATTGAAACCTTCACCCCAAGCCTATATGACACTGTAAAAACATTGGGGAACTCATCTGCCCCCAAAACCAAATTGCACGGCTCCAACATGTGCCCCTCCCAAACCCTACGGCCAAACCTGTAAGCCCAAAACCCTAAGCCACAAACCTTGCAGCACATCTTGAACCAAAAGCTTGACCCTAAACTCCAAACTGGAAGCCCGCAAACCCGAAACCTCAGATGCTGGCCTCTTGACTTCGGGATGCAAAGGCAGAGGCTAAAGCTGCGGCGGCAGCTCCGCGGAACGTGGGGGGAAGCCTGGGTTTAGCGCTTGCAGCCTTTAGGGATGAAGCCGTGCTTATGCATTTAGGGTCTGCCCTTCCTCTTCCTTCATCTGAAGGTTTCTCTGCTGTGTTGTGGGCTCAGTCATCCTTCAAAGTAGAAAGTGACCATGATGTTGGCAGCCGCCCATTCGCTTGCATCAAGGTAGAATAACACGCATGCTCATCCTTGGGAAGGTTTCTCAGACGGAAGGTTTACATTGGGTTTGAGCTTTGGGATGTTGCCTCAGGTGTAGGAATTGGAACTTTAACCTTCCTAACCGCAAGCCTCAAATCACCAACGCCAACCTCAAACCTTGGCCCAGGGACCTGCAAGCTATGCTTTCAGGTCCATGGCTAGGCCTACGTGCAATTAGAGGTACCAGACAAAAGGTTTCATATTGACCTACCCTAGGCACGGCCCCACTCGTAGCTACTCGTAAGCCTCCCACCAATCCCCACCGCCTCAAGCCGCAAAGTATCCATATCCAAACCCACGAGACCTACCTTCTTCCTAGCTTGTCACGTCTTCCTCCTTCCTCCTACAAAACCCTGAACTCACATTTCATCCCGAAAATGATGACCCTCATACGCTATTCCATCCGCATCTGCTGCTAGGCTTCCAGGACACCGTCGCTGCATTCAGGGCCTCCCCAGATATCTGAAGGCTTGAGGGCGGAGGTTGCTCTCAGCTCGGAACCCTTTTGTAGGTGGGTAAGTCTGATGGGAATATCGACTGTTCGGGGGCGAAGGGTACAAACTCTTCCGGGATGTGCTACAAGGCAGCTTAGGCTCAAACAGTGCGAAAGCACTTGCACTGCGAGTAAGGAAGCTTGTGTTGCTCGTGACGCGCGCCGTGCGCAGCCCCGTTTTATCGCTCTCACGTGGAGCTTCCTCACAATTTGGCTCAATCTCAGGTAAGTGTCCTCTCCTTGTGGCTCGAGGTTGCACTCTCGCCTTCTGGCTCAAAAATTGCACTCTTGCGCGGAGTGTCCTGGAATTTTCGTTCGGCTCTTGAAGTGTGCTCAAATCACAGCTCATCTGCATTACGCAACCCCCAACCGCGATCCCAGATGCTAAGCAAAAAATGTTAGCATCCTTTTTTGTGATTGGGCGGGGATTCTTTTCTATGAGCTACCTTTTTGGGGTGGGGTGGTCCCCATTACATGATGACTCCTACTCCGCGACTTGGGAATCACTAGCCCTGGAAAACCACAAGGATAGCGCTGCTTCTTGTTCTTGCTCTCATCTGCCAACGATCCCGGCACCTCAAACAAGGGCAGCTTGACGAGGTTCTCGGAAAGCGATGCCTTGACATCATCATCCTGGCCAAGATGTACATGGGTTTAACCTAAGAACCTTAGGGCGAAGGGTGAGGCTTCAATCGAAGCCCCACCCTACAGAAGGAGCTCAAGTCTATAGGAAAGGTTCATGGGTGTAAGTCCAGCGTGTGTCAGATGTTGAAAAGTTGGGGGCGATAAGAGCCTAACCTGCAGGCTCATCGCCAAGAACCATAACCCTTGACACCTCAATTGTAACCCTGAACTCTCACAGCGTTATGCCGCGATCCACAACTCAAGCCGTCTGCTACGCTGACCCTACGATCTGCACATCTCAAACCCCTACCGCCTGGGACTCGCCTGGCTCGGCAACCGCAGAAAGCGCCGAAGTGAGGACAGCTGCCATGGTCCCTTGCGAGGCGCCTGGAGAAATGCGCGGATGTGGCGCGCAGGGTTTTGGGTCAAGGGCCTACACCGCGATGACTTTAGGGTCTCGGGCTTAGGGCTTAGGGCGTGAGGTGGCAGGGAGAAAAGCAACAAAAAGCAGTTGAAGCAAACATGCTGAGAATAGCCATGAAGATAAGAATGACAATAAGTTTCAGAATCAACCTAAAGAGCGCTAAAGCAGGACACTGGTCTGTTGGCCGATGATGATGAGAACAACTTCAGAACAACCATGAAACCGCAGCTGTAGAGAAGAAAACATTACCAACTGAACCTTCAAGCATCCATGATGGGGATGCTGGTCGTGACAATATGACCAAACACGTAACATTGATGCAAAACAAATGAAGATGATAGTAATCACTGTAAGCCTGGGGTTTAAGGCCAAGGGTTTAGGATCTAAGTTGGATGAGGCCCTGCAAGCTTCATCAAACCTGACGCGCGCCATAATGAGTGAGGTCCATGAACTTCGCTGAGAATCCTGCGTAGCCTTTCCGGTACAAAGTTTTAAGCATGGTTGTTCTGACAGTACACTGGAGATCTGAGAAACACCCACTCATGTCGGTGAACAGGCAGGGCAACCCAAGTTTCCCCATGAAACAGAACTGTAATACCTTTCGCTGACATATCCAAGGTCCCGTGCAATCCTCTGCTTTCTCAACGATACCAGAGACATTACACGTTGCTTTGCCATCATCGGATGGTACGCTGATACTCTGGACAGCACCTTCACCCCACAAAACTGAACCCATCAACTCCAAACACATTCCCGACTCCAAACACACTCCCCAACAAACATAAACTAGTTATTACACAGCTTGAGAACCCATGCGTAGCGGCCAATCAGGACTCTATATGCCCAGGAAAGGAAGGAAAGCTTTAGAACCCCTGACCCCAAAAAGCCATACGGGCGAGTGAAGCCGAGGTACCGTGGGAGGCACCTGTCACCACCCGGCCCACAGCGTGCAGCGCCATGATGCCAAGCAGGGCTCCGCAACTTGAAAAACAATCACCCCAAAATGATGCCCAAGCCCGAATCATTCTGGCTGCTAAAACCGTTTTTGCTCGTAGTATTATCAGTCTAAGTACTTTCGTTTTACGTACTTGTTTTGCCACACTTACTTGAGCGAGGTGTTGTAACCTCTGACCAGCAGCTTGTAACAACCAGGTCAAGAAACTTTTCAGGATCTAGACAGGTGCGCTTTTGGTTTCAACACTCCAACTCCGTCCAGCTGCTCCGCTGTTGGCAATGCCAAAGCGAAACCAATGTGCAAACTGCTGCAGCACGGCGAGTGTGTAACTGTAGGGCTTCTGGTGCGACTAAGCTTCACATGTCTGGCGAGTGCCTTGTTATGAAAACATGCCTGTGTGGTCATTGAAATCAGTAGACATGGAACTCCCTGTGCGAAGAGCCCTGAATGACGCCAACCTTTCTGGCAACTAACACTATAGGGAACAAGTGCACGTTGCACGCTCCATTTTCTTCTGAACAGAAGCTGTATGATATGCTGCATGTTCTGTAAAGCTGGCATGCAAGGAAGAATCTTGTACTCTTTGACCTCATCGTCCATGAATGCCCCGTGTTGCATCTACTTGCAGACTCAGAAGACTGCACAGCAACTGAACTCACACAACTCCTTGAAAACTCTAATCCACGCATCCTGTACTCAGTACTGAGAATCCCTGTGTATAACCCCTGAAGACTTATCAAAAGTACGTGTTGCTTTTAGGGCCCTTATCAGAAGGCGTTGATGAAGTTGGTAGGCAAAACGAAAGCAATCCAATTGTTAAAAATGTCCGCTCTAGCCCCTAGACCCTCGTGCGCCCGGGCTTCACTGCCTGCTTCCAAGGAAAAGGGCGACAGGATACCAGCGCCAAGCAGACCCTACCTGGGCACGAGGACTTTGAAGGCCAGGGCTGAAGGTCAAATGGAGGTGTTCGGGCAGTTTCAATTCTTTTGTTCAACCCCTCTGGGCATCTGCTAAAGGAATTTCCCTCCTACAGTTTAGGGGCTCCGGTTTGCAGATTCAAGATTCACGTTTTTGGGAATTCAGTCGACGGCTTCTGAAGACATTCTAATCCTGTCGTTGCTCTTGCAGCCACGAGAATCTCTGTGGGTATGACTGCTACTGCCATTCCTTCAACCATTGCTCACGCCATCAAATGCCCCAAGACCGCGGCTTTTTCGGCTGAGCGCTCAATCCTCAAACCATGAACCCAAACCCACTTTCAAGCTCAGCCCTATCCGATTTTAGACTCACTGCCGTGATGACTATGGCTATCATTGCATCACCTGCGCTACCTGTAGTATGAGAACCTCAAGCCTAAGACCTAGATGAACCCGCTAATCCTTGAACTCCATACCCTAATCCACAAATCCTAAACGGTTCACCCGCAAAACTCTCGGGTCCCCATTCTATGTGTATTGAGGGATTTCTTTGATTTCGGCTGCAGGCACCAGGCCTGAGCACCCGCAGCAGCACCGATGCCGAAGTAGGCCTCTACAGACACCAAAGCTTGGCAGGTTTCAGGGTAGAAGGCTGCAGGGCCTAGGGCTTTTCGGTGGCTTACTGTGCATTTAAGAGCAATAAGGAAACCTTGTAAATGGTAGGTTCGGGCCTTTTCATGCAGCATTCACAGCAAGCGGTAGGTATCCACAACTCTGAACCCGGACTCCTTCATTTTGAAACCCTAGGCCAATCCCTGCAGATCCTAATCCCAGATGTAGAAACCTGAAGCCTTCGAAACGAAACCCATTGAACACTTGTTTGGGGCCCCAACGCTACGACCCTTTGAACCCCCAGTCTCAGTCTCTCTTGAACCTGTTTTTTGGTGCAATTTTACCGTTTTGTAATCCCATTGCATCGGCCAAACTCTAAGCCCCCCCATCCCGATCCTCATGCCTGATCCCCAAATATCCCTAACGCCAAATCCTTAATATTCTAAACCTAAAACTCACCTGCCTGCACCCGACCTAACCATCTAGGCCCCCACAGAATCTCTTGTAGTTCCCATATATCGCCTGAATCCCCTGCAGTCCCTGTATATCCCCTTTAATAGCCAACGTAGAAATTCAACTGTTGACGCCTTCCAGGCGTCCTCGGGAGCAGCGGCAAAAGCGCTCCGGGCTTGTGCCAGGGACTGCGGCTGAAAGGATGTAGGGTTCAAAGATCAAGGGATATAGGGATTTGAGTGTGCAAGGTGTCGGGATGTAGGATTGACGGTTTGTGGATTTGGGCTATTGAGTGTGGAGTTGAGTGCTGAGTGCTTTCAGGGCTTCTGGGCTTCGGTCTTAAAACTTGGATTTTGGGTTTGGGTTTAGGGATCCGGGCTTCAGGGTCCAAGGGCCTGGGTCTCAGGTAGCCAAACCTTTGTGTGAAGTAATCCCCCTAATTTTGCATCCAACATGCTCACAGTGCTCTTTGAGCGAGGCATGGTTTGGCACTCAGCTTACGTGTCGTCTGTCACCTCTACGGCATTGATGCCTCTGAAGCGCTCACTAATATGATCCATTAGAAACTGCATGGAGCCTTTCCAGCCTAACAGCGGAGTTTTTTTTGCAAAGGTGTGGCTCGGGCTTTTTTTTTGCAGAGGTGTGGCTCGCTCTTTTTTGGTTTTCGAAGCCTTCAAATGTAGTAAATTACAACAGTTGCTGGTGTTGAAACGTCTCAAATGCTGCAAATTACTGTATCTGCTGGTCTTGGAACGCTTCAAATGCGTCAAATTGCAGTACTTGCTGGTCTTGCAACGTCTCCACGCTGCAAATTACAGCATGTGTGAAACCCGCAGCAATGCCCTTGACCCCTCGAAACCGACATGCGCGCCTACGTGTCTACATCCAGATTTTGAACAGCTGCCATCGACACAAAACTCGATTTTAAGGTTCAGAGTTTTGGGAAACCTTGCACGCTTTTGCTTTATAAACTGCCCCAACATGCTTGCAGAGCAGTGAAGCTCTCCCCATGCTACTCCTCCTTGCCCGCTGTGTAGGGAGCCCTGTGCGTATACGCCTCAGGCGTGCACGCGCCATCTTAAAACACGAACAAGCCTCCAACTGACAGCCGCAAACCCTAGACGCTGACCAACCACCCCTAGGATCTCCAAGCTTGCCCCTACTTGGAGAAGCCTAAAGACCAAATCCCCAAACCCTAAAGTACATCCCAGAATGCCTGCAGGATCTCTGTGAGAAGGATCTCCGCTTTTCCAGGTGCCCAGGCGCTCTCTGGGAAGACCTACCCAAGAAAAAGAAGCTTGATGTGGATAAGGCTTTTTGAGTTTAGTAGGGATTTAGGCACGATGGTGTCGGGATTAGGGTTTAGGCTTGCTTCTCCAGCCCTCCAGATCGTGATTTTGAACGGAAAGGTATGTAAACAACTGTTGAATATCTGTATGTTTTGTTGGTCTTCCCTGGCTGCCTCCAGCCAAAGATCCAAATCAAGCAAAGATTCCTACCAAACCACCTAAGCCAAACCCCGTGAGAAGCCCAAATCTCTACCTGCTGCTCGTATATCCTTCCTCTGCCGCCCTCTGAATGTGTACCTCCAACCGGCATCCCCAACACTGCGAGGCCTTGCAAAACTGACTCTCTATTCCCTGAAAGAAATCCACTAATGCTGATGAAAGTTCTCAGCACTCTAAACCCACAACCCCAAGACCCCATTCCTTACCTGAAGGAGCTCACCAAAGCGCTGCAGGAAGTCCGCAACCTGGGCCATGGCTCTTGAAGGCTTCTAGCAACGAAACAGGTTTCAGATTTAGGGCTTGGGGTTCAGGCTTTCGGGCTCAGGGTTTTCGACTTGAGCTTTCGGCTTTGGGGTCTAGGCTCAGTGCGGGGTTCCGGGATTCGTGCTAAAGGTTTAAAGGGTCAAGGTTTGTGTGGGGAAAGTACTGCAGCCGCAATCCATCTTCTGGTTATTCATTGAACCACCTCTTGAATACACAGGAAGCCCTAAGTAGAGGAAT